CAGATTGTAAAATGTCTTTCAAAAATGAGATTCAAAATTCCTGTACCTCCTATTCGTTCGTTTTAAACGAATATGGAATATAAAGGAAGACACCTGGCTGTACAGAATACATAAAATGGTTTCATTCTTCGTATGTCACATTTTCAAGAACGAAATTTCCGTTTTGCAAACCATAGCACACGTTGCATAATTTCATTCTTTACGTAAGGTACTTTCAAGAACTGCGTTACATATCTTCCTGGTACACATTAAGTGTTTCACATCGAATAGAAGAAAAGTAAAATAAGAAATCAGCTACCGAATGCATAGTTTAGATCTTTACGTAAGACATTTCACAAGAATTTAATTTCTGTAATGTACATTCCATACTATGAATGGAGAATGGAACTTTGAATTATGAATGAAACTCGCAGAAACTGAATCTAACAGTTATAAATTAATTATTTTATTCCTAAAAAGTATCGATCTCGGGGAATATTATATCTCTACCTGAACAGCAAATAAACCGGTGCGTGGTTGAGTTATTTCGGCTACGTTTCGAATAATTAATTCGCGTGCATTTAAAACAGGAGTAAAAATCGCGGATGCAATCCCACGGCGGCGGTAGCGACAAAGGCATCGTGCTTTATCGTTCGATTTCCACGTAACCGAAGTCCACTTGTTTTCACGAGCCCGAGTACGCGAGCGTGGAATGTAAGCGACGATCGAATCACTCGTAAACACGAAGAAATAGCGGAACGCGATATGCAAATCACCGCGCCGGCGTGGGCGTAGTTGAGCAACGTGCAAAAAGCCGCCTGGTTCGCGATAAAATATACGCCCCAAAGGCATCGGCGTGCCCATTAACTTGTGCTTAAACCAACCAACAAAAAAAAACGAACCCAGAAATGGGCAACGATCTGTTCTAATGATAGAGGATGCTCCAAAAATATCTATAGGCTGCTTTCTTTCCTTCTGCGGTTTCAATATTCATTTAAAATAGATTAAAAATTAAAGTCATAATCATTCAAACAGTGCATATATATTTTTTGAACACATTGTATATCTTAGTAATTTACTCTCGATTTTTGTTATTATACATAATAGTTATTTACAGTCAGTTCTACAAGCATTTGTACTGTATATGTTTATTAAAGAAATTTGTTTCGTTACAAATGTTTCATTTTTTTGAATTCCATTCATGAGTTTCATTTCAATATATGTCGATTGCAAGAGTATATATGTGCAACTGATATTTTGAAGTTGACTACCTAGGTATATTTGAATAGTTATTAAATAATGTGATACATTCTGTTAGTACCTGTAAACTTGATTTATTTAAAAAACCGCCAACTTAAATGAGAAGTTTGATGTCTCCATATAAATGTGTCATAATAAATATATGCACGAATAAGCTTTAGACGTGTATGTATATGTTTTTTAATGAAACATTTATTTGAAAATTACAACCTGTCATTTAAATAAGACAAACTTGTTCGAAAGATATAGAGGGTACGAATACTCATGGGACTGACTGGACATAATCTTTCATTCAATCGACCAGGAAAATAAATTCCATCGATAATAATTTTACATAACTTGGTATCTTTTTCTATATTTATGAAAATAATTTTCATAAGCATCTACTCTACTAATTAACCCTTTGCACTCGAGAGGCGACTCTCAGTCACCACTAGGTTTCCTTTAGGTTTAATTTCTATGAAACTCGAAGTGTCAATAAAATGATTGTCGTTGAGGCAAAGGTGACTTGATTTTCAAATCTCAAATTAGAGATCTCATCTTCGAAGTCAATCTAAGCTTAGCATTCGTGACGATAAGAATGCTAAGAAAGCATCTCGAATTGCTGATAGATACCACAAAAAAAAAAGGCTTCGAGTGCAAACAGTTAAGTATCTATTCCTAAAAACTATACAACAAGGATTTGCAACGAATAACATCTAGAACTAACCCTATTTTAACCTCATAAAAATTCACGAATCGCAAACAAATTTATTTTAACAAAACCTCAGCCTTCAAAATGAATAATTACGTAAGATACTCGCTGAAAACTCACGTCACCTACGTGTATAGGAGCGCGATCAGCGCATAATAATTGCGCATGAAATAGTAAACGATTTCTCTATTTCCACGAGCGATATCGTCGCGTCGAAGTCCGTCGTTATCATACTTTTATCGCGAATTCCCTGCGACCCCAAGCATCTAGCCAGGTTATTGACATCGCCACGTGAATCGAAGCTGGTGCACAGCGTTGATGAAATAATTATTCCCGATATAACCCATATATTGTCGCAATTTATACACGGACGCTGCGCTAATTAACGCTCAGTCTACCTATAATCGACGTGTTTACGAGTAAACGCCGAATAACGAGGCAAACCTGATATCTGCTCTCAATTAACCCTGGAATAACATAATCGACCACTGAATCCCGTGGCTCTGACCCACGCTTTTTCCGTCATTGTCCTTCGATAAACAATTTACATATCGCCAATGACGAGACGACATAGAAAGTCACCTACGCTTTGACTAATCGAAATTCCCGATTTCGAACGCAAGCTCGTGGCGCCTGGCCACAATTAGTGCGATCAGCCCACAATGGGACGCTTGGTATACGTGTTCGTTGTTCTACAATGCAAAGAAGCAGTGTTAATTGCACAGGGAAACAGCGATCACGGTTTTTTGTTTTGGTGGATGATTCTATTTCAAATTTTGAAAATAAAATAAAATGGTAGAATGGAGAAGTTGTATGTTGTATTCTATCGATTCGGGATTGTATCGATGAGGACTTCCATTGAGTTAATCAAAGTTGAACGAAGTCGATCTAAACTAAATCAATCTAATAATCGATCTAAAACGATGTTAAAATATAGATTTTGAGGAGGATACGAAGAATCTTAGATAACTATTTAACGCTACCTTTGCGGAGATTTCTTTACCGGATCTTTGTTACTGAAATAATTCTGCAATGAGTTAAGTCGATTTGCTAAATTAATTAGGAAATTTGAACGAAATACACGGTTTCTGGAAAGCCTTGTGAAATTTTGAATAGATCAAAATGACCGTGCTCCGTTCTTCGGAATCAATTCATCGTATAAAAAGACACCAAAAAGTCCTTAACCATTTTGCAATCTGAAGCTTGGTCATCGAGATGGAACCAATCAAAGTGTTCCAACGTGATTTCTGGGCGCATGTCGTAATCAGCTGACCGCTTACGCTCCCACGCACTCGAACACGTGTCTCTGTGACGTTCAGACGCGTGAAGACTAGTAGCTCTCTATATCTCCGTGAGAAGGCCTCGGATTTCAAAATGAAACAGGACTTTTTGGTTCGTACTAACACGAGGAATTATTTCCGAAGAAAGGTATCGCGTTCTTGGACAGTGTACAATGTACACACCCTGTGTACGGGACTCGTTTCAGTTCGAGAAAATTATACAAATCCGTATCTCGCAGAGGGAACACCGATGAATCGTAAATGGAATGGAAAAGTTGCAAATAGAAGTGTCTGTCGTTCGTTCCTATTGACTTCTTAACGATCCGCAATTTCCATTTCCTACTACCGGTTTTTAAAGAGGCGCGACCTATCTCAAAGATGTCAGAATGCAAACTAGCGGAGAGTTGTAAATATGCGAATCGTAAATAGAAAGAAAGAGATATTGTAAACGTTATCCCATCGATTTTCATTCGTATTGACCTACTGTGAACTACTGTTGCATAAAGCGACCTGTCAGGAATCCGGGAGAAAATAAGTCCCTTTAAAGTTCAGCAGGAAATTCGTATGATTTATAATGTTCTTTAAAGGAGACGTTTAAAGGTTGAGAAGCTATTAGTTACCATTTGTATTAATTAATACATGGACCACACCGCCAAAGAAATTTGTACTGTAGTACACGAGTAGTTTTTGAAGAAACACTGTCTATCTAGGCACTATTAAGTGACATGAACTAGAGTAACACTGATATATAGACTGCGGATCTATACGCAAAATAAAATCTACGTGCCTACAAAAATTGAAGCTAAATAGGAATTTATTTTATTCTGTAAATATTATAACATGAATATTCTTGCATATTGTTTGCATTCTGTAGAGTCTTGCTCATTCAAATTTCCTATAAATGCACAAAGAATCGCAGTCTACTGATATAAATCTCAGAATTTCCTGTATAGTATAATATAATAGACATCAATTACATGATGTCTAACTCGCATAAGAATTACATTAACTAAATTTCTGATTAAAACTATGAGACTACTAATACATCTCAACAAGAAGATCCATAGAACCCCCACTCCGAAGTGATCCAGAATTTGCATTTCCGCGATAATACCGATTTTCGATGTATCATTGTCACGATCTACCTCATAGAAGCGCGACGAAGCTAAACTTCTGACGCAATCTAAACAAACACCGATAAATCTCGCCAAGAAGACCATCGGTAACGAACCTAACTACCGATCTCATCGAACGTCCACTCCAGAATTTCCATTTCCACGGTTCTAGTACCGGTTTTCGTAGGGACAATGTCACGATCCGTCTCGCACAGTGGGACAGCTCGCGCGACCGGTTTTCGCGCGCTGATCGAACAAGGGAAACCTCCGCGTCGAGGCACCCGAGGAATGAAAACAGACTCACCGCGACTCGTCAATCCTCGGCATCCTCGGCGAGTGTCCCCGTCGTCATCCTGGGATCGTCGATATCGGCGCACCTGCGGCGGGACGATAGCGGCGAGATGCGTGTGTATGTATCGATCCTTTCGCGCACGATCGAACGCGTGAGAGATCGGGACAAATCCACGCGCTGGTCCCCGCGCAGACTCGAAGAGGTGACTGGGAGATTCTGAGGACCGACGGTTCTGGTTCACGACTGGTTCTTCTCCTTCTCCTTCGGCCTCTGGCCCCTTCCACGTTGCCTGCGGTGCAAACAGAGACGTATGTAGCTTACAAGACGAGGTGGGAGAGAGAGGGGGAGAGAGCGGGTCGTTCGAAATAGAAGAAGAGGAGAGGCGGTGGATGCTGGGGAGATCCAGCGACGCCCCGGGTACGACAGGTTGCTCCTTGTGTATAAAAGAACCTTTACGTGGGACGGGGGCCCCCCAACCGGTGAAAAGAAGTCGATCTGGACGGGGGTCAGGGACGCATTCGCGAGTTTTAGCCTTGCCAGGTGGCTACGGGGGATTCTTCGCGAGTCGAGGAAGAGGGGAAGGGATCTTGAGCGCCATTGAACGAGGGGATGAATCTGAATCGAGTTTGGTGCGGTTTGCTTAGGTGGACACTAGTTTGCGACGGTTACACTGTGAATGTTTGTGCAAATTCATATTTTTACAGATCTGGATTTATTTTGAGGGGGATACGAAGGATTTTAACTAACTATTTAACCCGTTGCGCTCGAGTGGCGCCCCTAGGGCGACATGTGTAATCTAAAAGTAATTTTTTGAACTTACAATTTCCATTTCACTTACATCAGAATGCAGTTAATTATTAATTGAAATAATAATACATCGAGTCATGAATGTTCGTAGACGTTTCGTTTCAAAGTAGAGTTTTTGGTTTTACAGAAATTTATTATAAAATAAGAAAGAAAAATATATATATATACATGTCGAATTGAGTAACCTCCTCCTTTTCGAAGTCGGTTAAAAATGGATTGGATTTGATTAGATAGAAAACTGCCTCGAGCGCAAAGGGTTAACGCTACATTCACGGAGATTTCTTCGTTAGATTTTTGTGACTGAAATACTGCTGTAACGAGTGAAGTCGATTTACTAAATTAATTAGAAAATTTGAACGAAAACGAATTGCATGGTTTCTGGAAAGCCTTGCCAGACTTGTTTTTTGAACAATGTAACATGTGGTAGGTATAGGAATCGATTCTGTGGCTCTCACATTTAATCATTCGTAACTGTAGTTCAAGACAAAATATTTACTCTTCCTTGACAATTACTATTAGGCGTGGAAATTAATACTCCGTCTTCGTATTTAATTATATGCGACTCTAGTTTATACAGAAACATTTGCCACGTTAAAGTACCAATCTTTAGTAATGAATAGACCGCGGATTTGTATGCATTTATAGAAAATCTGAACGTGCAAGAAACTATAGAATGGACACAGCAGCCAATAATATAAAAAACATTGAAAGTAAAGTTCATATCATAATACTTGCAGAGTAAAATAAATTCCTATTTAGGTTCAATTTTTGTAGGTACGTTTACAAAGATTTTATTTCGCATAAAGATCCGCAGTCTGGTAATGAATAAGATGGCTTCGACATTTAGTTTTAAAAATATGTAATCAATCCCATGAACATTCGTACTCTCTGTGTCTATTAATAAAGTCTAAATTAAATACTACCTTTGATGTTTCCAAATAAATGTATCATCAGAAATACGTACACGAATAAACATTACATTTAATTGGAAACGTTAACAACCCATCGTTTCATTTAGATAAATTTCTCCAATAAACCATGGAGGTTTCTCTTTATAACGATTGCATTATTAACGCCGCACACCAAGTTACGCTTAACGATCGATTAATAAACTGAAAGTGTCGATTTGCAATGCCAATATTAATCATGTCAACGTGAGGTGTCTTAGAGTGCGTGGGTCGTTGAAGAGGAACTACTTTTTAAGAGGAAGTCGAAATGTTGCACAATCTCGCGATTAGCACGCCCAGCGCGTTTTCATCCCGCCTTATGTAACTGCTTATAAACGAGATATGAGATCGGCTAATTGCTAGCATGCTTTCACGCCGATCGTTTTACGATGATTACTATACTTCGTGTTCGGATTCGTAGGTACATGCGTGTTCAGGAAGAAACGTCCGAGTGGAATGGTAATGGTGGTACGAAGACCCTGGGAATTTTTCGAAGCAGCCCCACCCCCGACAATTTAATTAAACTTCTCAATTCGATACTCGTTGGTATCTTAATCAATAAATATTGACGACTATACGAATTTATTTTCTTTGTGTGAAACGAATTAGAATTGTTATTGCTCGTATGTTCCTTTTAGTTTGACAAAAATGATCCCATTTTTGGTTTTCACTGTCTGTGATAATGACTATTACAAGTTTTATTTGCACGAAAGAAAACATAACGTACTGCAAAGATACAACTGAGATTGGATGCTTCTATATACTCGATAAATTAAATTTTTCAAAGTGATTCCCATGATCATCACTGTGCACACAGATTATTAAAACTTCTATTTACCCATTTAGATCGCAAAAATTCCCCAAGAAGTGTTTTCTTTCAAACCAACTACTCCCTCCTAAGTCGAAATAATTCACAAAATGAAATAATAAACATACCAAGCGTTAATGTAGAGTACATAGACCAACGAAGCATCCAGCTGGTACGTTGGGAAACTGTCGTAGTCGAGCACGAGTTCCTCCTTAACTCCCGTGGACCACTTCCTTTGAAGCCATACCAAAGCAGGAAGAAGTCGAGCGAGGGAGAAGCGAACGGCGTCAGAGCTTAGACTGAAACGAGACCAAAGAATTCGGTTCGCAAATCTTCCAGCCTGAATACGACCCTTCCCCCCACCACCGCCACTGTTAAGACGCGGATTACTTCTCTCTAAGAATCGTACCTTTGGTCCCAGGTAGAAGATTTGACCGATAGACACAAAGGCTCCTGCTCTAGAATAGAAACAGCCGCGAATACGCGGAACGCGCGAGTTCATGCTCGTCCGAACGCACGTTTCGACGAACGACCGCCTCTTTTTTTTTTTTTTTTGTTGTTTTTGAGCTCGACAAGGGACGCCTGCGAATGTTACGGCTGAGTAACTTAATCCCCGACGAGGTCGAAGTAACCCCGAGTAGCTCCGAGCGTAGACGACGATAAGTGACTACCTGAGACCACGCGTACTCGATCTCGAGGATGTTGGTGTTTACGTGACCGTACCGAAGTCATGGATCGACAGGGAAAAACCAGATTTATTTATATTGCGAATTATCGTGGCGTTATAGAGTGTGGCTATTTTGTGTGGACTTTGTGGCTTTGAAAATTTGTACCGTTGATACTATGGGCTTCATAAAGATGGTCCCTCGTTATATATGCTCTTATAGTCCATGTTCTGTTAACAATTAAAATATGAATGTTACATATGTAGACCAAAACGAAATAGAATAAAAATTGTCTGAAATAATATGACTTCTATCCTATCCTTGCCAGTGATTACCTACAATATGTATTAATCATTGACTTATAAGCCTGATTACTATTACCTATTTATTAGGGTGTCGTTCCTTTTACATGAAATTCAAACGAGTAAATTTATGTCCTCGTTATCAACAATCTTTTGCCATACAGTGTGTAAATTTCAATATCTGATCGATAAAAGTCAAGTGGCACACAGTGAGCTGATAAATAATAAACAAATATTGACAT